AATAAAATATACTGTTTGCTTCTAAGAGAGTTTCTTTGTTTTATACAAAGGTTTCTTTTTTCCTAGAAGGGTTTTAGTCATTTATTGACTTGTTTTTGTAAAATTTGATGTTTTTTCTTAATTCTAAATTTGGAACAGAGGATCAGCGGAAAGAGTGTTTTTGATACTTTGTAAGTTATATTTTATAAATAATATAATTTTTATGCTTTTTATTTAATTAGCTTTTTTTCTTTTTAAAGTAAAAAAGTTTGGCGTCGAAAAGAATTTGATAATCGTACAGATAATGATGGAACAATATCCGAAGCAACTTTTCTGCATTTAATTGTAGATAAGATACTATTTGCCTGTATTGAGGATATAAGTGATACAATCCATTTACGATGGTAAATTTTTTAAATTTTATACAATTATTATTTTAGGTTACATTTAATAAATACGTATTATACTATTTTAGGGAAGATCGATCCGAAGTAGTGCTTAGATCCGTTCAAAAAATCCAGCGGATTTTCTATTAGATATCCGTTTATATCGGATAACGAGAATATTTCTGCGGATAGCCGGATATCTATTAAACTATCCGGTACTATCCGATACTTCAATTAATAATAATGGTACATTAATATTTGCATGAATAAATGATATATCTTATACGTAACATATAACTTTTATTTGGGAATTTTTTTTTTTTTTTGGGATATCTATTTAACTATCTGATACTTCGATTAATAATGATGCATAATATTTTAGCATGAATAAATGACATATTTTTATACGTAACATTGAATAGAGAACTATTATAAATTTGTATTTTACCTTGAGCGCAAAAAAATTTTTTTTACATACCTTATTCATAATCGTAATATCGTAATAATAGATAGTGAAGATTATTTATTTTTTAGAACTATATTACTATGTATATGTGATTGATAACATTAATAAAATACGTATATTCTGATTGCGGCTAGCTTTTTTTATAATAATTCTTATAGTAAAAATTCGTTCAGTTTGGTAAAAATTTTCTATTTAGATTGTTTATTATAAAAAATTCACCATATCTAGAATCAACTATACTTTTTATTATCATAATTCAACGGATTTATCCGGATAATCTACAATCGGATATCCAAAATTCGCGGCTATCCGAAAAAAAGACTAAACGGATAACCGTTATCCACCGGATCCAAGCTCTACGAAGAAGGAAACATAAACTATGAGCCTAATCGCAATTATGATAAATGGATAAATTCTAATGAATCAAACAAAAGTGGCATTCAAAGTAATAGTGGTAGAATCCCGGATTTTCAAGCAACATTCCAATTGGAATCTGAGGAATTTGAATTCATATATGGGGAAGTTAGCGGTCCCCCATATAAACCTATCAGTACAAAGATTGAAACCGATAGAAGGAAACTCATTCGCTATATGAAGCGTAACAAAAGTGGACAAGAGGAAAAATTTATAAAGAATTTTAGATTAAATATTGATACTAAACTAATCGACAATATTAACATTTTTTCCATTCTTGTCTATGGTACGTATTTACTGTATAATAATTCTTATTTATCACCTTAATATTACTCTTTTAACTTTAAATATTATTATTATTTAATGGGAACCTCGTTTAAATTGCTGATGTATAAAAAAGGCAATTTTTTGTTACATTGTTTGAAGTGAAAATTCCTGTAGAATCTTATTCAACAAGCCAAGAAAAAAAAATTTTCTTCTTGCATGTTCAATTTTAATCAACATTGTAGAGCATACTATCGAACCTTTTAAAAAGATCAAGCTCAATCTTGAAGCAAATAGAAACGTTTATAATACACAAAAAGTGAAAGTCAATAAACGTCCAGCAAACGATCCTCCTGTATACCCGTCCCCCCAAAAGACAAAAAGCTAGACCACCAAAAGGTTCGGACAAATAAGCACAACAACTGGAACCATACTTTTCTTATTTTTACTTCATTCAATATGAATTTTCTTCATTTATACATTAAGAATTTTTTCATAATATGATTTATACTTTTATTTCATATAAGATGATTTATACATTTTATTTCATTATTTTCATATAATATGATTTATACATTTTATTTTCATTATACGTAGATGATTTATACATTTTATTTTCATTTAAAATTGCTGTCTGCAAATGATGTAAAGAAGTCGATTAATAATGATAGTAATATTCTTGGTCCTCCAATTATTAATAAAATCATCTTTGGCTATAAAAATTAATCAATCAAACCATGATGAACCTTTAATATCTGTTCCTCATACTTTATCAAATCCTCCTCCTTCTTCTATAAATCCTCCCATATCTTCACCCTTGGAAAATAATTTTCGCCGGAATAGTAGTTCAACTATAGTTAGTATGAATTCTTTCTCAAGGTCTAAGAGTTCTGTCATAGGAAATTTTGTGACAGCAATTATTAGTGAAGATACAACACGTACAAAACACCCTCGAAAACGTCAACTTAAACACATGGGATCTGCGCCTACTTTAAACATTCCTTTTATGTCTATGACTAAGAATTTAAATAAATTTCTTCGACAATTCGCATGGATTTGAAGCTAATTCAGAAAGTGAAATTTCGAAACAATATCTTGAAAGAATGATGTATAGTATTTCGAAATCAAAGTTGGTTACTATATTAGCTCAAAGTGTGTGTTTTTGTTTATTGTATAAATTGTAGATTGAACTGTCAAAGAATTTATGCGTGTTTAAACGTGTAACTTTGTTGGTAAATATGGTTTTAATGATAATAATATTACTTTTCTTAATTTATAGAACCGATGCCTTTCATCAATCTGCTCTTAATGCTTATATGGAATATTCGAATTTGAAAAATTCCCTATTGATCTTGCCTTAAGGTATATCATAAGTGGGAATTTTTAAGGTTAGGGTTGGAAGTTTTAATATAATTATTCCGTTCTAATCTAATTGGATTCCGAACCGATTCCATTCCCATTTGCAACATAAATAACCTTTATAAATATTTACTTAAAAACTAAATATATTATTAAATTCTGACAATAAGAAAACTTTTAATGGATTGCAATTTACCAAAAAAAATTTATCGTTTATAAAAAAAGTTGCAGCTAAATTTTAACTTTCAATTGATATTTTTCAATATTCACTTATTCAAATTAAATAAATATTTTTTTATTTTAATTCTACAAAATTCAATGAATCTATAGAATTAAATAAAAAAATAAATCATCAAATTTGGTTTGGTGGTTGTGTAGATAACTTCGTTCTAAGATTTTTTTTTATTATAATAAATGTTTTAATTTTTTCTTTAAGTGAAGATATCTCCACAACCAACTAATAAAATTTTTTATTTAAATTCATAGTATTAAAATAAAAAAATTTCATTGAATTTGGTCTAGTATTTGTGGAGACATCTTTGCTCAAATTTTTTTAAAAAAATTGACGCGGCTTCAATTTTAATAGGCTTTTTGAATTTTCTCTAACTATGAACGAAAACCACCAGACCAAATTCGATTAACTTTTTTTTATTTAAAATTTTATGGATCCATAGAATTTAGATAAAATTTTTCATCGAATTTGGTCTGGTGTTTGTGGAGATAACTTCGCTCTAAGCTTTTTTTTTAAAAAAATTAATATAGCTTCAATTTTGAGGCGTTTTGATTTTCTCAAGTGAAAGATACAGTATCTATGACCAAATTCGATAAAATTTTTTAACTAAATTCTATGAATTCATAGTATTAAAATAAAAAAATTTCATTGAATTTGTCTAGCATTTGTGGAGATATCTTTGATCGAATTTTTTTAAAAAAATTGACGCAGCTTCAATTTTAATAGGTGTTTTGAATTTTCTCTAACCTTGAGCGAAAACCACCAGACCAAATTCGATGAAAATTTCATAGATTCATATAATTTAAATAAAAAATTTAATTGAATTTGGTCTGGTGTTTGTGGAGATAACTTCGCTCTAAGCTTCTTTTTTTAAAAAAAAATCGAGACAGCTTCGACATTTTGATTTTCTCTTCGAGTGAAGATATCTCTACAACCACTAGACAAAATTCGATGAACTTTTTTTTTATCTAAATTCTATGAATTCTTAGAATTAAAATAAAAAAAGTTTCATTAAATTTGGTCAGGTAATTGTAGGCGTTTTGATTTTTCTCTAACTCTGAGCGACGATATCTCCACAACTACCTGTCCAAATTTAATTGGTTTTTTATTTATTTGAATTCTATAGATTCGTAGAATTCAAATAAAAAAAATTCTCCAAATTTGATTAGTTGATTGCCGAAAATTTTGATTTAATTTTAAAAATTTTTATTTTTCTGTTTTGAGTTGTTTTCATTATTCCTGGGACACCTATAAAAAATTAGCCTTTCGGCATAATAAATTCAATAAAAATTGATACTGTAATATATACGTAATTTAAAATCAGGTGTCTAATATAAATAAAAAATTATGCACATCTCTTGTTGAATTCAAAAAATAGGATATTTTCAAACCACATTCGTTTAGAAGGCCTTTCAACTCGAAAAATTGCAAAACATTTAGGTGTTAGCAGGTCTTCTATAAGTCGGGTTCTTGTGCATTTTTAAAGATATGGTTGTATTGAAAAACCTCCATCGCTTTCAGGAAAACCACGTTCTTTAAACATGAATGATATAAATTATCTTCAAGTTTTAATGAAAGAAAAACCTGACTGGTACTTGTATGAATTACAATCCGAGATGGAACTTTGTAACATTAGTCTTACAACAATTTGGAGGGCTATACGACTAGATCGGCTTAGCTGACCGGCTAGCCGATACCAAATTTTTTATTTCCTGGCTGATAAATCATAATTATTGCTTTAATTCGGCATGAAGTGCTCAAATTACATAATTATTGCAAGGCAACGATAAAAAATTTAGGCTGAGATTACTCAAAATTTTATTAATGAAATCACATCTGCCTATTAAGTGAAAAAAGTTCCTGAACTAATTTTACCATAATGGAGGCCTATTTCTCTAAAAATTTATAACCTTAATTCCACCAAAAATTACATAGCAATTGTATAATGCGGGTCAAAATTTTGTAGACCACGGCATTTAGCTAATTAAAATTATGAATCTAAATTGGTGCGACAGTTAAGGTGTTTTATTGTAAGATATCAAAAGACAAGCATTTTTTGTCGATTTGCAATACAGAATTTTAAGACAATCTAATTCTGGTCAAATTTGCAGATCGTTTGGCCTACTGGGATGAGTTTAAAACTCATCCCTAATAGGCTAAACGATCTGCAAATTTGACCAGAATTAGATTGTTTTGAAAATGTAGATCGGATCTTCAATATTTTGATCATTTTGATTGGCTGTTTATAGCATGTGGCCCGAATTTTTTTTCACCATGGCTAGGGTACTCTAATATATATAACTGTATAACATATAAAAATATAATTATTTGGCACTTGTTTATATGTTTGATTGGAATAATTTATCGTCTATAGCCAGCTACTAGTCGATAGTTGATAATAGCTGACCGATAGCTGACCATAGCTGACCAAACCCATCCCTAGTCCCAGGAATAATGAAAACAGCTGTAATAAAAAAGTGAAGTCGAGCACCAGTGAATCAAAAAAAAGGATAGATTAGCTTATAAAATTGTAGAATTAAATAAAAAAAAACTCAATTGAATTGGATAGATGGTAGTTGAGAAATCATCGTTTAAAAGTTTCAAAAATGCTGATATTTTAAGTTATTCAAAAATCCTAGCTAAGGTTTCTCAATAACCACTAAATCAAATCAAATAAACTTTTTTTTTATTTTAATTCTAGAAATATATAAAATCAAATAAAATTATTTTACAGAATTTGATCAAATAGTTATTGAGAAATTTTCGCTAGAAGTTTAAAATTTTGAAAAGGATTTTGATTGAAAATGATCTGCAGTTCGAAATTTTCTTCATATAAGGATAACGTTATTGTTTACATTTATCAGCCAATCAAAATGTACTGCAAATCCCAGATATAAAGAGCTTCAGCTAATCAGTATGATTAAAAATTCATCTGTTTGGTTGTCGATCCTTAAATTTTCATTGGCTGATTTTAGTAAATGTCTTATACAGAAATACAATCAATCATATGAAAAGTCACCAGCAAATCAGATTATACCAGATTAAATTTGCAAGAAGCAAGTAATGTTGGAAAACAAAATTCCTTTAAAGTTTCATTAGCAATTTATTATGTACTTTTATTATTTGCACATAGCAAGTCATAAATTTGTATAATTAACAATTACTGAAATTTTAAGGAAATTTTGTTCGTTAATATTACTTGCTTCTGACAAATTTAATCTGATATAATCAGATTCGTTGGAGACTTTTCATATAAATGATTGTATTTTTATATATGGTGTTACTATGATGATCGACAGCCAATCAGATGGATTTTTAATCATGCTCAGCTAATCAGCATAGCAGAAACTCGTATTTTGACAGAAAATCACGGGTTTAATGGGTCATGTGCCCCAAAATAAATACATATGCAGATGACGGAAATTTAATAGATATTAAATCAACTAACGCCAAAATTACCAATCAAATTTACCTATCTGCTATAATAATATAGAGACACGTATAAGAATACTTTTAATGATCAATTCAAGTATAATTAATTGTCAGTATGGATTAATGCCATTAAGTCCAGTTACTTTTATAAGCCTTGCTTTTCCAACATAGTCTTCTAACAATTACTTTCCTAGCGTAATCACTTCTTTATCCCACCCAGAATAGTCACCAAAACTAAATAGCTATGTAATCGCTACTCAAGATTTGATCCGAGGCTATGTATTAATTTATTTTAATTACTCAAAGAATTTATTTATTTACTGCAAATATTGAATACAATTATATTTAATTAAGTTATTTTAAACGTTTAGGTTCAAACTCAAATATAAATCAATATCTGTTTAAA